AAAAAAGAAGTTAGACTAAATTAATATTAAAAGCATAGCATAGACACTTCTGAGTACCTAAAAAAAAATGGAATATGCCTAACTCTATGCCTCCCAGTTTTATCTCCCCAAAACAAGAAGGAAAAAGTAAATCTGTAGGCAGGGCATGATGGCTCACACCTGTAATCCCAGCACTTTGGGAGGCCAAGGCGGGCAGATCACCTCAGATCAGGGGTTCAAGACCAGACCGGCAAGTGTACCTATTAAAAATACAAAAATTAGCTGGGCATGGTGGTGCATGCCTGTAATCCCAGCTACTTGGGAGGCTGAGGCAGGAGAATTGCCTGATCTCAGGAGGTGGAGGTTGTAGTGAGCCATGATCATGCCACTGCACTCCAGCCTGGGTGACAAAAGCAAGATTCCATCTCAAAAAAAAAGAAACAAAAATGTAAATCTAATAGAAACTATATCCTCAGAATAATGTGAATACAGAGAATGCTAATACCCCAAAATAAATGTGAGTAAAAACAGAAAACTTATCAAATCACAGGGTACAATCTCTCATGCTCCCACCCAACCCAAACATCATGGAAAGTCTCTGCTGTAAACAAAGGAAAAGAAAAACTACCAGAAAGACAGAAGAGAGAAGACAGGAATGGGAGCTAAAGGTGATCTGTAACTATTCCCAGAAAGTAAAGTCCACGTTAAATCTGAAAATACTAACAACAACAATAACAAAACTGAGTAGATGAGAGCACAGCCTACAGGGAAGGAATTCTGAACGTACATGTGAGTTAATGGGGCAAGCACAACTTAACGGCGTAGTTGGGCAGTCTTTATACACAGCTTCTGTAGGAGGAAAAAAGGGAAAAGGGAAAAGGCCCTTCAGCTATTGGTAGTGAAGGGGAAATGAAACAAAAGGGGATAGGGTCCTAAAAGACAAAAAACAATCACAAAATCAGAGGATTGACAACCCCTTCCCCTCCAAAACAAAAAACAAAAAAACACCTTATTACATCTATCATCTCCCCTTCTACATAGTCTTAAATTTTCTCACTGAAGTCACATCTTTAAGTTACATATCTACCTCTAGAAGAAATTTACCTAGATGATCACCATTAACATACATAAAGTATGTAAGACTACGGCAAGGTGAGCACTTTATAAGGGTAGACTGATAAATGGAACAATACAGGTCACTGTACTTCTCGGGCTCACTGATTCACTAACATTTCTCAGCCTGTTTTGAAGTTATTCTAGATGCAGCCCTGTGACTGAATTATTGACGTGGGAATCTTAAGAAACATACTTTGCTTCCAGGCCTATCCCATAAAAATCTCTTACATACAATCCTCCTTTCCCTTTTTTTCCCCCACACTCCCTGCTTAATGAAAAGAACATACTAACCTCCAAAGCCATGAGCTAAACAGGCCAGATACACAAGCTAACCTGAATCACTGCTGAAACAGTGCTCTGTGGCAACTAGAAATAACTGATTTAAACTTCACAAAAGAAAGAAAGAAACCTCTATCCTGTTTGAGTCATTATTTGTTTGGGGTTTGTTTGGTACAGCAGCTAACAGTACCTTGAGTAACACGATGCGTTGACTAATTATTTCCTAGGGAAGCAGAAAAATCTTTTCTAGGAATATATGATATAGAAGACGTATACTTCAACATAGGGGGAAGGGTGGTAGCAGAAGAAAAATAAGAATGATAGAGAAATTAGAATGGTTCTGAACCATGGTTAACGAGGAGGTGAGATGGGTGCTTACAATTTGAAAGAAGGGATACTTTAAGGTGAAAACTGTATAAAAGAAGAAATAAATTATGATGTAATACGGCTTTACTGCAAACAATACTGATCATAAAAATGCACACTCTGAAAACTCACTTAATCAAAATTGAAAACTATACTAGGGAAATGAGATTTGAAGAAATGCTTGGGAAGGTAATTTGTCTTCTAGTTTCACAGGGCCACAGAGAGAAAGAAATTTTGAACCAGGATGGTTTACACCCAGAGTCTCACCCACACATAATATAAATGATTCAGATAATGAGACTTTTGAACTGATGATATTCAAATAACATTTTGGACTCTGAGTTGATGCTATAATATCTTTGTAGATCCTGGTAAGATACTTTTCTTTATTTGACGTATAATGAGAATCCACAGAAAAATTTCAACCAGCAAAGTAGTTGGCCTGATTTACATTTTTGAAAATCACTAATACTGAAAGGAGATGAAAATGCAAGTAGGGAAACTAGTTAGGAAACTATGACAGTGATCTACGCAAAAGAAGACAGAGAACTAGACTACAGTGACAGCAGCAGGATGAAAAAAAGATGATAAATCGAAAAATATACTTTGCAGGTAGAACTGATGGAACTTACTAATAAATTACATGTGGACAATAAGAGAATGAGAGAAATACAGGATGATTCTTAAGTTAGAAGTTGAGCAACTGGGTAGATAGTGCTATTTATTAGCTGAGATGAAGAAAACTGAGAAAGGTATAGGCTCAGGTAAGAAAATCAAGACTTGCATTTTAGACATGTCAAGTTGTTATTCTAACAGACATCCAGATATAAATATCAAGTAAGTCATTTGATAAAAGAACAGGGAGCTCAGACAGCCAAGAGCTGGATTCATAAATTTGTGTGGCATTTAAAACAACAGAACTAGATAAAACTGAACAGAGGAAAAAGATGGAAAAATGAGTGATCCCAGGACCAAACTCTTGGTACATAACATATTCAAAGGTCTGACAGAGGACAGAATTTAGCAAAAGAGACAGAAACAGCCAAAGAGGTAACAAGAAGTTGTGGCTGAGCGCGGTGGCTCATGCCTGTAATCCCAGCACTTTGGAAGACCAAAGCAGGCAGATCACCTGAGGTCAGGAGTTCAAGGTCAGCTTGGCCAACATGGTGAAACCCTGTCTCTACTAAAGATAAAAAATTAGCCAGGTATGGTGGCACACGCCTGTAGTCCCAGCTACTTGGGAGGCTGAGGCAGGAGAATTGCTTGAACCCGCGAGCTGGAGGTTGCAGTGAGCCGAGATAGCATCACTGTGCTCTAGCCTGGGCAACCGAGTGAGACTTTGTCTCAAAAAAAAAAAAAAAAAAAAGAAGAAGAAGAAGAAGAAGTTGTGATGTCTGGCTGAGCTCAGTGGCTCTCACCAGTAATCCCACCATTTTGGGAGGCCGAGATGGGCAGATCACTTGAGGCCACAAGTTCAAGACCAGGCTGGCCAACATGATGAAATCCCATCTCTACTAAAAATAGAAAAATTAGCCAGGCATGGTGGCGTGCACCTGTAATCCCACCTATTTTTGAGGCTGAAGCATGAGAATAGCTTAAACCCAGGAGGTGGAGATTGCAGTGAGCCAAGATCTCGGCACTGCATTCTAGCCCAGGCAACAGAGAATCTGTCTTTGAAAAAAAAAAAAAAAAAGAGAGAGAGAGAAAAAAGAAAAGGAAGTTTTTATATCAGAGATGTCATTTCATTAGAATCACTGATATTGCTGTAATTATTCTACTTTACATTTTTTTTTTTTTTGAGACAGAGTCTCACTCTGTCACCCACAATGGAGTGCAGTGGCACAATCTCGGCTCACTGCAATCTCTGCCCCCTGGGTTCAAGTGATTCTCCTGCCCCATGATCTACTCTACGGAAGTCTAGCATAAAATGCAAAAGCTTTAGCCCAGAGCATTAATCCCAAAAACATTCAAAAATTTATGAAATATCCACTGTACTGAATGCTAAGGGGATACACAAACAGAGATTCAGACAATTCCATGACATGGCTATGGTGTGAATAAATTTTTTAAATGCAGAATTAAAATTCTATAGATAAATGGAAAAGAGTGAAAAAGCTGGACTAATAAAGAGAAATCTAGGCAAAGCATACTTTGAGAACTACCTGGATAGGAATAGAGACAGCAATAAAGAACAACAACAACAAAAAAGGCCATGATAAAAAAAGATATATTCAGACCATCCTCTATCCTTATCTAATTTTCTCCATTGTAGTGTTCTCTTCCCTTTGTAGCCACAAAAGACCCCCTACACATTTTCATTTTCTTACTTCTAGCTGTCTCTATTCTTGTCTTGATTCTCTTTTCACCTGACCACAGCTTTAACAGCTTTTGATTCCAACTGGTCCGAACTGTGTCTTTTGCTATCCTAACAAATTAAAAGTTTTAAAAAGTTTTAGAGGGACTGGGTAATACTCATAAAATTATTTTAAACATTTTAAATAGTTCTGGGCTTATATATATTGCAGAAGGCCACAAATGTTTATGTAGAGAAATAAAATAATGCATAAATTTGTCTATCCCCTACCTCCATTTTAGGTAAGAAGCACGATCAACAATGGTTATAGCACGAGAATCAATCCTAAATTTGAGATTTCACAAAACTGACTTCAATCTCCTCCTTTGCGGTATCAGAGGAAAGGTATATGGAAAAGCTATACTTTAATAAAGGAAGAAGATTTTAAATGAACAGCAATTGCACACAATGACTCACAGATAAACTAGTATGACCATGTCAATGACGGTCACATAAGTTCACCTAAAAAAGATTAAAAATTATTTCAAGTCTAAAGAAGCTGAGGCTTTTCAGAGCTATCAAAGACTTGCTGAAAATACGCTAACATTTTCCTGCCATGCTTTTCATACCCAGGTATCACAAATAATGACACTGCTCCAAACTTCCTTAGAGTGAAGTCTCTCTACTAGGGATGAGAGGAGTGCTGTTAGTTGGCTAGACTCAGGAGGGCCAAGTGAGTTTTGAAGAGAGATGCAAGAAAAGCAAGTGCCCCAAGTTTAAAAAGAGACAAGGGTGGTAAATTTGGGGGGATTTCTTCCCCTGACCTCCCCAGGAATATCTTTTCTTTATACCATTTCATAGATTTGTGATTATTTATAAGGAGTTGTGGGGACTCCCAAGGTTCTCCTGATTCTTCCAAATCTAGAGAATACCTGATTCTTTGCCTCCCACCTAGTAACTGAATTACCTTTCCTGGGGCCACTTTGTTGAACCACCCAGTTGTCAGGTGGCTCCTTCTAAGGAAGCATAGACAGTTGTTGGTGTCAAAAGATGTTGTGGTCTTTGGATATGTTCCCGATTTGAATTTCAACCAACTCCTCACATCTCTCTGATGGGGTACAGTAATAGAACAGAAGTCAATGGGAGATCAGCATGCACTCAGACTCCAGATTCTGAAAGGGAACAAAAATCAAACCCTCCATTCTTTGCCTCTTCACCATGTCTAATAACCAATATGCTAGAAACCAGGCTTTATCAGACAATCATAACTAAATATAAAGCAACAACTCTCAATAATCACATAAGTAATATACACTTTATAAATGCTTAAGTAGTTAATACAAATATTAATATTTACTAAAATTTACACTTTATAAATACAAATTATCTGCCATCCTTCTAAAATGTATTACACCCTTTGAAAGTATTCATTTAGTATTTAAATATCCATGCAGGGCAACAATTTACCTTTTCTAATACAGATAAGTTCATGTACTCCACAGGTTCTCTCTCCACCTGTTAAAAAAAAAGTTTATTAGCAGTTAAAAACATAGAAAGTAACATGAATTTGACTGCTACAAAGAATCATTTTAAATTAGCACCTAAAAGTGACCTCAGAAAAAGTTTCCCTAATCCTTCTTTTCAGACTTAACTAAATGATATGATAGCCTGATATCAGAATTTTCTGGAACAATCCAGAAATTAGGTCTTAGGAAGCCTCAAAATGAAGACACTTCATTCAAATATGCGATTTTGAATGGCAAGCTTCTGAACAGCAGAAATCATATCACCATTTCCCAAGGATCTCTTCACAGCATCTAGAAGGAAACACTGCAAGAGAGGACCCACTTTTGTATCTGAGCCTTAACATATACAAATAAGTTATTGAAAGGTCAATGCTCTAAAGTTACTATTTATATTTTATCATATATATTCATATTATACATTCTTCAGCAAGCCACCATTATAAATTTGTTAAACAAATTTAATAGTATGATAAAAACAAATTTAACTTTAAAAATTACTTTGATTATTCTTTTTTGGAAAGTCTTTTGTAATATTTCTTTTTTAAAAAATCTCTATTTATTGGGTCAAAAACCAAAATTACAGAAAGTGCAGAAATATATAAAACTTCCACGTAATTATCACGAAGTAAGCACCTGAGGTACTACAAACCAAGACAAGAACCTGAACTTGGCTGGTATCCCAGGAGTCCCTTTACGCATCTTCCTAGGCACTACTTTTGAGTCCCAGAAGTACCTAATCTCCTGAGTGCTATCATTACAGCTTGGTTTTGTCTGCTTATAAAATTTATACAAGTGGAGTTGTTAAGTGGGCATTTTTGAGTCCTATTTCTTTCAATATTAGGTTTGTAAGATCAATCTATTTTATTTATAGTTGTGACTCATTCCTTTTCATTTGTGTATAGAATTCCATTCTATATAGGATATATACACATATTCATGCATACATATGCATAAATTTCAGTTCTACTGTTTGTAAACATTTGGATTGACTGGGTTTGCTGTGACTAATTCTGCTATAAACCTTTTTATATAATACATGTCTCTTTGTTTCCCACATGCGTGCCTTGCCTGCCTTTCTTCTAAATGTATTCCTATGAGAAGAACAGCTGGGTTTATGGGTCAAGTGTATGTTTAACTTTAAAAGATAGTGGCAAATGGAATGAATAAAGAAAATATGGTAAATATATGCAGTGGAATACTATCTATTCCAAAAAAAGAAGAAAATTCTGTCATGTGCAACAACAGGGATGAACCTGGAGGACACTATACTAAATGAAATAAGGCAGACATGGAAAGAGAAATACTGCATGATCTCACTTGTATGTGGAATCTAAAAAAGTCAAATTCACAGATGGAGAGTAGAATCATGGTTACCAGAGGTGGGAGGGCAGAAGGGAATCTAGAGAGGCAAGACAGGAAAAGTGGGGATACTGCAAAGGGTACAAAGTTTCACATAGACAAGAAGTTTTAGAGAGCTACTGCATAGCATGGTGACTACGGTTATTAATAATGTGTTGTATATTTCAAAACTGCTGAAAGAGTAGAGCTTAAATGTTCTCACCACAAAAAAGGTGAAATGACTGATATGTTAACTGGCTTGATTTAATCACTCCACAATGTGTACATACATCAAAACATCCCATTGTACCCCATAAATACACACTTTGAATATTCTAAGAGTAATTTTATTTATTAGTTACTACTATATAGATGTATTTCCTTCACTCAGAAGTATGTCACTACTTTAATGTAAGCTGAAAAATATTCTGTAGTGTTCTGTATGTGTATGACCTTATATTATGTTGTGAATTACTTTTAAACTTTGCATAACAAAAATATTAAATAATCACTTTGGTTTATCATGAAAGCTTATTATAAACAGCTCAGTTATAAGTAACAAAAATATCCTACAGCAATAACATAAGAAGTAAAAACTATGATATCCACTAAAAAAGTAGGCCATCTGAGAAGCAAGCTAAGAAACCCAGAAAATAGTATTTCTATCACCAAAGTAGGTTAGATGTTCACTTGACTTTGTTGTAACAATGGCATTGATTCTTTATTATTAAAACTACAGAATAATCACTGATCATCAGGAAGATGGGCTTTGCAGGAAGAAACACCTAACTTAAAGCTACGATTATAAAAGAATTATTTGGCAAAGCCCCAGTGTAAAAAAAAAATAGTGTTAATTGGAATATTACCAGTGACCACAGATCACTTGCTAAAAGGTTAGAATGAAATATACCTACAGACTACAGTTCTTTCAAATTGAGGAGATTCTAGTCCAATGACTGAATAGTTACCAAATTATGACAAAAAAACTATTTTGAGACATTAGAAAGGTCATGTAATAAAAATAACATAATCATAATACATTGAGGCATATGATATTTTGATAGGTTACTTAGAAATATTTATTCTCTGTACACATTAAGGCATATTCTCTAGAAGTTACATGTGTAACTTAGTTTGAGTTACATCGTTAATTCACGTAAAAAGGCTGTACTTTTTAAAGCCTGTAATGAAAACTAAACTCTTCCCCATATTTAATATAAATTGATTAGGTTTTACCACACACACCTAATCTTAACTGTAACAGCATTGTTTTTACAAGGCTTAGTATATACAATAACAATAAAAACTACTATATTCTAAGATATTTCTCAAGACTGCAGAATGACAATGAAAGCTAATTCCCACTTTTAAAAGCATTCGATTTATCTAAATCACATAAAAGAACCTTAGAAATTTTTAGGTTACCCAAATAATCACTACATTTCTAATTTACAGTCAATTAACTGCCACATTTGTCAAAGTACTCATGAAAGTCGCACAAGCAAATAAGACTAGGCACAACATTTTTTTGATATTTGTCCCCTAAATTCTAACCAACAAACAAGACTTCACTGATGTACATGTGGGACTCAAAAGCAATCATTATTCTTATGAAAATGTACAGGAATACTAAGTATACAAAAATTCCAGACAATAAAATAAAATTCAAGAAATCCCTGCTTTTAAAAATACAAAAGAAGAAATATAAAAAAGTCAAATGAATTTATTACATTATTGGAAACCGAAATTCAGTGTTCCTTTTATCCCCAATCCTTCCTAAGACTGGGAGGAGTGTAAGGGAAAAATATGCATTCCCTATGTAAAATGTAAATTTTTAAATGTATATGTCTGTTTGGAAGTCAAAGGCTTAAATACTTTCTCAGTCAGAGACACATTGTACCTTGTACAAATTTTATGTCTTATTTTGTCTTGAAAAGTAAATCTGAAAAGTTTCCAGAAGAAATGTTAAATTTGTAAGCAGGAAGCAAGAAAGACACTGCAGGCATGCCTTGACTTAGGTGTGGGGGTAATCCAAAAAGAGGTGTACTGCTTTTAACAGCGTATTGCACAAGAGGGAATGATTATTTAAAGTAGCCAGTATCTTTGGAAAGAGATGAGTTAATGTTCCACTAAAATAAATAATAACCCCCCGAATGAACTCCTATATAAATACAATTTTCCACACATCAAATTTAATTCAAGAAAATGAAGACTGGGCCACCATAATAGAATGACAGAATATAAGACACGAGAGCTCAGAAATATATTTGTCTAGTTCATTATCATATAGATTAATGGAGGCCCCAAAAGTTAAAGTTGCTCAAGGTCACTAGTTAACTGTCAGGAAAAAAATAGAATATTACATTTAATGAATTTTGGAAAGTAAATACTGATTTTTCTTCATTTTTATGAAAAAAATGAAAGTTATGAAATTGTTTTCCAATCCTTTAAGGTAATTTAAATAGAACTGCATAAAAACTATACTTGGAGATAATACTAGCATTGCACTTGAAATATTCATCTAAGCAACACGGAAAGGAGAAACAGACAGAAAACGACAAGCTTAGTCAAAGTTACCATCTTTTCCCTCAGGCAAACCCATGTAGGAGTATAATGTAAAGTGGCATAATCCTCTACAACTGGCATAAGGGGTGTAAGAGAAAATAGATGTGTGTGGGCACACACGTATGCATGATTATGTGCATGTGTGTTTGTATATGAATGTACACATAAGTGTGAGTATGACTGGAAACGGGAATTTTAAAAATAAACAAGAGGATCATTACAACATATGTCCTTGCCCACGTTTACAGAAGTGAAATGTGTATTACATGGCAGCCCCATTAAAATACATCCAGGTACAGGCATACCTCAGAGATATTAATGGGTATGGCTCCCAACAACTGCAATAAAGTGAATATCACAATGAAGCAAGTCACACAAACTTTCTGGTTTCCCAGTGCATACAAAAGTTAGGTTTACACTAGACTGTAGTCTATTAAGTGTGCAATATCATTGTGTCTTAAAAAAGTGTTATCTTAACTTAAAAATAATTAATTACTAAAAAAAAATTAATGATTGTCTGAGCCTTCAGCAAGTCCTATCTTTTTGCTGGTGAAGGGTTTCGCCTTGATGTTGATGGCTGTGGACCAATCAGGGTGGTGGTTGGTGAAGGTTGGGGTGACTATGGCAATTTCTTAAAATAAAACAATGAAGATTTACCACATCAGTGGACTCTTCCTTTTATGGAAGATTTCCCTGTTGCATGCAATGCTGCTTCACAGCATTTTACCCACAGTAGAACCTGAAAAATTGGAGTCAATCCTCTCAATCCCTACTGCTTCTTTATCGACTAAGTGTATATAATGTTCTAAACCCTTCGTTATTTCAATAATGTTCACAGCATCTTCACCAGTAGATTTCATCTCAAGAAACCACTTTGCTCATCCATAAAAAGCAACTCCTCATCTGTTCAAGTTTTATCATGAGATTGCAGCAGTTCAGTCACATATTCAGGCTCCACATCTAATTTCAGTTCTCTTACTAGCTCCACCTCATCTTTAGTGGCTTCCTCCACTTAAATCTTGAGCCTCTCAGTCATCCATGATAGCTGGAATCAACTTCTTCCAAACTCCTATTAATGTTAATATC